ATTATGAGGGGCTCCCACCATCCCTGTGCTGATTTCCTGGGTCTGTACACCTGCTGTGCCCATTATGAGGGGCTCCCACCATCCCTGTGCTGAGTCTGTACACCTGCTGTGTCCATTATGAGGGGCTCCCACCATCCCTGTGCTGAGTTCCTGGGTCCGTACACCTGCTGTGCCCATTATGAGGGGCTCCCACCATCCCTGTGCTGAGTTCCCGGATCTGTACACCTGCTGTGCCCATTTTGAGGGCTTCCCACCCATCCTGACCTGAGTTTGTGGGTCTTCATACATGCTGTACCTATTATGAAGAAGTTTCTACCATCCCTGGGCTGTGTTTCTGGGTTTTCACACTGCTTTGCCCATTATGAGGGGCTCCCACCCTTTCCGACCTGAGTTTGTTGGTCTCCATACCTTCTGTGAGCATTATGAGAAGGTTTCTACCATCCCTGGGCTGATTTCCTGGGTCTATAACCTGCTGTGCCCATTATGAGGGGCTCCCCCCATTTTCGCTGCATTGTTACTTATTATATATTACGGATAATATAATAGAAGGAACTGGAACACACAAAGGAGGGTGAGAACACCCAAAACTACTTGGCAGACAGGAACAATCAGAAGTTCCGTCAGGGAGATCTCACTGTTGGAATACTTATGACAAATAAAAAGTTGTGGGCTGACTCAGTCTGCCATATTCTACCGGTACACAAAATATCACTTTTTAGCGGAGTGAACCTTTAAATGTATCAGGTAGTGGACTCTGTATTTGCTGATATTCTATTGCAAGTAAAGGAAGTAAAAAAAGTTGAAGGTTCATTTCATTCAGTCTTGAAAATGACACTTTGAGATGAATACACAACACCCGGCCATGGCTCGAACAGCCAAAAATAGTTCAACAGTTAAAAAAAACTCCCCTTCCCTTTCCTCTCTTTCTGACCTGTCAGTGTAGTGAGCATCATTGACTGAGATCTATTCCTCCATCATGGAAGCACAGCATTCTGGAATCTTGGGAACACCACGTCGTGCATCATTTGAAAGGGTGACTGTTTTGTCTCAACTCTGCCCGCTTGGCTGTTCTGAGTGTCATCAGTGACTTAAGGCAATGACAGCATTATATGCCACCCTCGGCCGCCTGTTGTTCTCTCCAGACCCCCCAACCCCATCCCAGGTCTTCCTGTGCTTCCAGATAATCCTGTTAGTAAGGGATATTGCACAGATTAATTTTTTTCCTTTAGCACACCTGCAATGATTGCCGGGATATGCTCGCGTGCTAATCTGGAATTGCTCTTTAAATTGATTTAGTGATTTGGAGAGCTCGTTAGTTTAAAACAATCTCCATTTTCTTTAATAAGACCGGAGTCCTTTTTTAAGAAACATATGCATCACTCTCTGCCCCGTAGTGCCAGGCAGAGCCCAGATGTGCCCGTGTTCAGAGTAGAAGCAGCTTCTCGGGAGATATTTGTGTTGAAGCAGCTGTGCCTGCGTTCCAGGATGTCCCCGCCAGCGGAATTGGATGTATTTTTCAGTGATTCGGCCATAGGTGACAGATTGCAGTCTTTACCTTCAAAAGGGGAGTTGTCCAGGGACAATTGGAGGAGCCATTAATAATTTCGCAGAAGGTTACATTAGCAGCCCCTGGCGATGTGATGATGTACTCTGGGTGTGTATGGAGTGGTGTGTGTGGTGTGTGGGTTTTAATGATGGGGAAAGGGCTGGGGAAAAAATGTGAAGATGAATGAAAATGAGAAAGAGAGAGAGAAAGGACAATGGAGAAGAATTGAGGAAGAGAAAAGAGGGGAAGGGAAAGGATAGAGGAAGGGGGAGAGGAGAGGTGGGGAGGGAAAGGATAGAGGAGAGGAGAAGACAAAAGATGGGAGAGGAGGGGAAGGAGAGAAGATAGGTGTGGAGTGGAGAGAACGGGGGAAGGCATAGAGGATGGGAGAGGAGAGGTGGAGAAGGAGAGGATAGAGGATGGGAGAGGATAGGTGGAGAGGGACAGGGGAGAGGATGGGAGAGGAGAGGTGGGGGAAAGGATAGAGGATGGGAGAGGAGAGGTGGGGAGGGAAAAGGATAGGGGATGGGAAAGGACAGGTGGGGAGGGAAAGGATAGAGGATGGGAGAGGAGAGGAAGGCAGGGAAAAGGATAGGGGATGGGAAAGGACAGGTGGGGAGGGAAAGGATAGAGGAAGGGGGAGAGGAGAGGTAGGGAGGGAAAGGATGGAGGAAGGGGGAGAGGAGAGGTGGGGAGGGAAAGGATAGAGGATGGGAGAGGAGAGAAGACAAAAGATGGGAGAGGAGGGGAAGATAGGTGTGGAGTGGAGAGAAGGCATAGAGGATGGGAGAGGAGAGGAGTAGGGGATGGGGACAGAGAATGGGAGGGGAGAGGAGTTAAGGGGGCAGATAGAAAATGGGAGAGGATAGGAAAGAAGATGAGGGAAGAGGACAGAGGTTGCGATAGCGTGGAGAAGAGTGGACAGAGGATAGGAAAGGTGGTAGAAGGGCAGAGGATGGGAGAAATGGGAAGTGGACAGAGGAAGGGAAAGAAGAGGGGAGAGGAAGATGATTGGTGGAGAGGGAGGAAGACAGAGGATAGGAGAGGAGAGGTGAGAGGCAGTAGGACAGAGGAGATGAAAAGAGAAGAAAGATAGAATTCTAGAGGAGAGGAGGCAAAAGAACAGAGGAAGAAAGGAGAGAACAGGCAGGAAAGGAAAAGGACAGAGGATGGTTAAAGAGAGGATGGGAGACGATACGAGGCAAGGGGACAGATGATGGGAGAAGAATGGTGAGGTGAGAGGAGAAAAGGGGAGAGGACAGTTGATGAGATAGGAGAGGAAAAGGAGGTGGAAGGATGGAAGAAAGGAGGAGACAGAGGATAGGGGAAGGGATGGGAGGCAGCAGAAGATAGGGGACAAGCTGCTCCTGCTGTCTCCACCTGCCATTGCATCTTGGAACTCCCTGCAAGAACAATAACTTACAGCCCACATTTATGAATCAGAAACTGTTTTAGCACATGGTCCACCTAAAAGTAGAGTCTGGTAGGCTGAGCCATCTATTACATCTCTAGAGGTCACCAGTGCTTATATATCCCAGTGGAGCTCCTGGCTTCATTTTGGAAATGTGTTTCCATCACCATGGATTGTCACTTTGCCTTCTCTACTGTGTGCAACAGTGTTCATTTTGATAATTAACATTTTTTGTCAACGATATTAACACTGGCGTACAATAAATAATAAAATCCTGAGAGATATAAGAAAACTATCATATGGTTAAATGTTCCGGCATCCTCCAAAAACCAAAATGATAATTCATTGGTGGATGAGCACTTTCGTTGTTTTATTTTTCCGATGTAAGATGTGCATTTGGCTCTTCCATCTTGGTCCTAATTAGACTCAGCCCATTTAATCAATGCCCTAATTGTTTTCAGAGAGGGCATAAAGAAAAACACAAATAATTATCATAACTCTTAAATGGGAACCGTCCCATCTGCTGCTGGCACTGTGACACTGCGGTCATTGCTTTATCCATTATAATAAACCATAACACACTTTATGAAACACTAATGATGTCCCCAAGAGCCTGTCCAGGGCTGTTATGTGTGTAACTCATTATCTGTGGCACTCATCAACATGCGTGTCACCTGTAACACAGACACCGCATTGTCTCAATTCAATGTTTTTTATTATTATTTTAATTTTATTATCAGATAGCTTATCATTATTTGTATTCCATTATTTGTATCCTTCCTGCTTTTTCATTTCCATGCAGTCCAGGTTTTATCACAGTGTTGGATCTTTAAAAGGAATCGGTATGTTTAAAAAAATAGAATTTTAACTCCTTCTATTTCACAAATTAAAGTGTCTAAGGATTTATTTTAGTTTTTAGTTTTTTGTATGTGGAAGGGTTGTAGGAGACTCTCTGAACCTAATAAAAAAAGGGGGAACCCTTGAAATAGGTTTCAGGTCTCTGTTATAATATACTATATCTGCTTTATATAGCTCGGGGTATATTAGCATGATCAGTGAGTTGAGATATAAGAGTAAATTAAAGAATAAGGAATGTGGCATGCTTAGTGTTTTTGACACCCAGGGCTGCTCTATATGACCAAGGAATTTTCAGCAATTTAAAGTAATAGTAAAATTATTTAAGCAAAAGAAAGGCTGACATTTAAAAATGTATTGTTTCTTCACATTGGTGGTCAATGAAGAAATGCCTGCCTACCTGGATGATCAGTGGAAGAATGTCCCTTTACACTGGTGGTTGGTGTAATGCTCTCCTTACATTGGTTTTCAGTGTAGTACCCACTTACATTAGTGGTCAGTAGAGTGCCCCCTTGCTCTGGTGGTCAGTGTAGTACCCACTTACATTAGTGGTCAGTAGAGTGCCCTCTTGCTCTGGTGGTCAGTGTAGTACCCACTTACGTTAGTGGTCAGTAGAGTGCCCCCTTGCTCTGGTGGTCAGTGTAGTACCCACTTACATTAGCGGTCAGTAGAGTGCCCCCTTGCTCTGGTGGTCAGTGTAGTACTCACTTACATTAGCGGTCAGTAGAGTGTCCCCTTGCTCTGGTGGTCAGTGTAGTACCTACTTACGTTAGTGGTCAGTAGAGTGCCCCCTTGCTCTGGTGGTCAGTGTAGTACCTACTTACGTTAGTGGTCAGTAGAGTGCCCCCTTGCTCTGGTGGTCAGTGTAGTACCCACTTACGTTAGTGGTCAGTAGAGTGCCCCCTTGCTCTGGTGGTCAGTGTAGTACCCACTTATGTTAGTGGTCAGTAGAGTGCCCCCTTGCTCTGGTGGTCAGTGTAGTACTCACTTACGTTAGTGGTCAGTAGAGTGCCCCCTTGCTCTGGTGGTCAGTTTGGTACCCACTTACATTAGTGGTTAGTAGAGTGCCCCCTTGCACTGGTGGTCAGGAGGAGAAATTCCTCTTGCATTAGTAATCATTAGATTCAAATGCATTGTTGCTGATCACTCAATGTAACTATAGACCAAAAGGGGAATTCACACCACACTAAATATGAGATTCCTTTGGTTTCAGTCCTTTTGAGTTTTTTTTTAATTAGCCCTTTCGAGCCGTGATAAAGGGGAGTGATGTTGCCCCCCAAACACGTTTTATGGTTTTTTTTTGTGATTTGATAATTAAAGACTTTTCTGGACTTCTTCGCCTATTTGGTCCGGTGCCCATTGAAGATTTGTCTACACCGTTACACTAGTGGTCAGTCAATAAAGGACCCCCATTACACTAGTAAGCTTCGGATCCACATTCCTTGTTGCTAATCACTTCATGTAACTATTATATGAGTGGTCAGTGAAAGAAGGAACCCCCATTACTCTGGTGGTCGTCTGGGAAGAATGCCCCTTACACTGGTGGTTGGTTGGAAGAGTTTTCCCCTTACATTGATGTCAATGGTTACTTATCTGAGAGTCAAAAATTGCTCATTATTTAAGAAACCCCGACAACCTCCCTATAGTTCCACGGAACCCTGGTCGAGGAAGACCGGGTAACAACCTTCGTCAGGTTTTTATTGCTGTCTGTGTCTCCACTGGGGAGATTTACCCTTTTCTATTTGTCCCAGTGCCCATTGCCCCCTGGACAAAAAGTGAGGGCAAAGCCAAATAATTTTAGTTGTCACTGGGTTAAAAATAGAGGGGTAATGTAATTTCCCAACAGGGACACTTGTTCAAGGGACAGCAGTCTGAGGATTACCCACACTTTGGAGAGATGTATGGCTGAAATCAGCTGCACAAGGGTGAAGTGAATAGCCAAACGTCGTTCGGCTCTGTTCACTTCGGCTCGGTTATTCACTCGGTTGCCCTCGGCAGCTAAGTGAATAACCCCCTATATATTTTCTGAAAGCCAAGACCCTGTAGAATAAAATGGTGGCAGTTGCACGTTTTTATGTTGTACGATATTAGCCCAGTTTCAGTCCAGGAGAGGAGCCGGTACAACTGTGCAAGACTGGAGAAAAGGCCGGAGTTCAGCTTTAAGTATGTGTTTCCACATTGTTATTCTTATCATCATCTTTCATTCATATAGCGCCATCATATTCCGCGCCTTCTCACAACGGTGTGAACAGTAAGGCTTTGTTGTTAATGCAGAACACAACAGGAACAAAAAGGCATCTGCACCCTGCTCCATAGAATGTACAATGTAACAGGAGAGATACAAAAGGCATAAAGAGACCTTCAGCACAATATAAAATCTTATGTTGTGTTCTATGACACTACAATGGCAACACATCCGCCAACAATGGTATATAGATAAAACAGGGATAGGCAAAAAGTTGTAGTAACATAAAACAATGTTATAATAAAAAAAAAGAGATCCAGTTATTGAAAAAGAATAAACATAGTATATCAAGCGGTTTCATTGTAACTGAAAAAAGAAGACTTGTTCAGTTTGAGGGAATCTTAGAGGTGAAATAATATGTAACTTTGTATATATATGGAATAGGAATATATGGAAGAGGCAGATAGCCTTCTTCATTGC